TAAATGTCGAAAAAGCCTTGTCACTCTTCTCTGCGACTTTGGTTTTTCTGGATAGCGGTCAACCACAAAACCAAAGTCGCAGAGAAGAGTTTTTGAAAGGGGTTTTTCCTCTGAAATCTAAGTGTTCTCTATCATTCGCAAGCATCTTTTCTGCTCTATTCAATCCTATGTTTAGTTTTAACTACTATATGAATTACGCGGAATTTAATGTCTTGCGTGACAAATAAGATGGCTAGTCCACGAGAATGACCACGTCACTACGAAAAACCTTTCCTCGAGAAGATGACAAAACCAATCAGGCATACATTTCAAGACTGGTCATGACTTGCTCTCGACATTCCACTAGTTTTTACAGCTTCCGCTGTAAATATTTTTGGGGTCTCGATCTGACGCTTACCCATCGAGTTCTGGAGGAAAAACAGAATTTGAAGAAGGAACTACGCGACTGCTCGGAAACCTCATAGCCACAGGTAGACGGCGTCGTGACAGGCTAGAGGGTACATCATTGGTCGATTTGTCGAAAAACAAAGAGTTGGAATTAGTTGTCGATTCGCCTAATTTTCGTCGACCGGACCTCCCATTTCGGAGGCCTAAAATTTAAAATCTCTGCTATGAGTGTAGAAGCAAGTTATACCACTTTGAAGAGAAAACAAATCCCGCGCAAACGATATGATGTGAAAACTGAAATTCAAGAAGCACAATTTTTTGTTTTCAAAACGATATTTCTATAGAAAGCCTAGTAAATGAGACCATCGCGAGAGTAACCGAGTACAGAGTGGCAAAAAATTACGTGCGTTAAAATAATGTCCAAACTTCATTTTTTGTCCACAAAAATTTTAGAGTAATTAATTTTATGAAACAACAAACATTTTATAACTGCATTTCATAAAGAAGTTACGAAGTGGTCGCCATCAGTTTTGGTACAAGACCATTTTGTTTCTTCACCGACCGATGATGCGGCGGGTTGTACAACGCATAATTTATTCCAAATCTTGGTTAATTTTTCCTGAAGGTCATCGAACTTTCTGAATTTCGACTTCCTCAGCATCTCTCAATGAACCCACAAACAGAAAATTCTGATAGATCTGTATTCGGACTGCAACTTTACAAATCCACCACAAAAAAGTGCCTAGTCTCGAAGAAGTGAATCGTTGTGTTGGTTCATGAGCCGGAGCCTGTTCCTGTAGAAAGATCATGTTGTTATGATTTTGCTTCGAGGGGACTACAGCTTTCTTAAGAATCTCATATTGGTAGAACTTCCCATTGATTTCACGCTTTTATTGATAAAAACCTGTGAAGGTTTACTTGAACAACTGATACAGCTCTAAATCATCAAATTTTAAGGGACGGAATGCTTGAGGGTATTTTCCAAACGAGTGCTTCTGAGAACCGGAATAAAGAATGAAATGCGATTCTGAGACTTCTAAGCCGCCTAGATGGTGACCTTTTTCTGGGAGAACACCTGACGTCTCTCCATCTTGAAGAAAAAGCGTAACTTTTTATATTTTCCTTTTGTTGGCACTCTCTCTAAAACTCCAATGATCCTTTTGATCATTCCGTTTCTCAATAATTCTTTGCACCCATCGGTTGCTGATACTCCGCTCTTATTCCCTCACGGGTTCGGGTAGAAGCTGATCTTCCTCATTTCAAAATTGCGTCTTGACTTGAACAGGCCTTCGCCAGAACTTGGAACAAACTTTTTTTCCTAGAAACAAAAAACAAATATTTTGAAAAGAAGAAAGAACGCATATCTTCCACGAGCAAATATATCCTCGAGTCAATGGTGATAACAAACACGCGAAATTTCATACGCACGCAATTTTTCGTCACCCTGTACACAGAAAAGTGTAGGAAATAGAGGGTTACTGAAAATGATTGGCAGGAAGGATAACGCGGAAGAGACGGCCAAGAGAAATTGATTTTCATGGAGTACTTCATGGATACTTGTATAAAAACTTGCGTCCAAGAAAGAGTTTCAATCATCCTTCACTGCTCTTTATACGGATGCTTACATAGGACGAATTTCCCCAGTCATATGCCACTACACGCCTGTAACGAAAACCACCGTGATGGTGCCTGACTCCTAACTTTTGAACTCAGCATCCAAAACCAACTATGTTTCCGGACGCCCATGCTTCGAACCATAGAAGATGAAAGTGAAGGAAATTCCAATACCCAGTGGTGTGGGTCGCTAGGTCGGAGTGCAAATTTCGGCACTCGCCGGCGCAGATAACTTTCTTTGCGCCGGAAACTCCAAGTTCGCTCATGAAACTGAGTCGACCTGGAGTTTGGCAGCGAGAACCAATTCGTTGGCGAGAAAGGAAAAACAGCCTCCTTTCCTCAATCTACTCAACAGAAAGATAACAGACATCGTTGGCTATGTAACCTCTTCCTACAGTGTTGATTTTCCCGAAAAGAATTCAGACTTTTCAATGTAAAGAGAATCGGCAGAGAGAGTAATAGAATCACTGCAACTGTTCAATAACAGCTCCGGCCGATTTCAGCGATGCCGACCCAATGCATGCTCATCGTATCCTCAAACGTCAGCCTCTCGCGTGGTCACTAAGACGGAACTAATGCCGATCTTTGTCGGCGAATTCCATCGTGACCATGATTGGCTACCACCCATTCGACTGCAGCACGAAAGCACTGTATTCGGAATTTATCCCTCGGCTGAAATAAAAAATATTGAGTTGGGGTCAATTTAAAGCCGTAGTCGTCCAAGCAATCGCTAGTCAACAAAGTCAGTAACCCTCATTGAAGCAGGGCCGTGTAATATCTGTCGACTCTACAAACAACTATACAGGGGTGGCCAAAAAAAAGAGACACTTTGCCCATGGCGCACATCGAACTTTTCGTCGCACAGGGTGCCGTGTTAATGAAAGTTTTACGGTGAAATATTCCTAAGGTGTTCCCCCGTAAACAGAAGCAGGCCCTCCTTCACTGCCCCGCCGTCTTTAGAATATGACGTCATCTACCGCCACCGTCGAGCTCAACGAGGCTTACCGTAATCGCTCCGGCCTGAAGCTGCTTCATAATTTCTTCAATAGATTAACTGCTGAATAGCTTCCTAGAGACATTAGCTGTGGCTATGCAAAACCACTTTTGACCAGCATTTCTCACGGACGTCGTAATGTTCTATGGTACCTCGTCAACCCCGTTGAGCTCCTACGGTGAACCATGTTTCCGTGTGAAAATCTTCTGATGTCGTCGGTATGTAAGTCTACATGTAAGTCAGATAGTTTATAAAGAGCTCCAATATCTGATTGAGGCCGCAGTCGAATTTGATTGGAGGGAAGTGGATATGCTGTACTTGAAATGTGGAGTCAAGATGTCTATTTTTCTTGGCACCCCTGTTAGACCTGAATTTAGAATGTTAACGGCCTGCGCCGCCTGACAGGAGTCAACTTACCTGATGATAGATCTATTCAGAAACAAAAAACTTGTGCTTTTTCTTTCTTTTTCAGGTGGGCCTGTCGTCATTTGTTTATGTATGTGCTCTGGCACTCGACGCTCTCTTGTATTAGGAGAAGGGTGCGCTGTCCTATATGGCGCAGATCCCAATTGGTTGGAGCAACAACTGGGCGAATGCGGATCTTCCTGTGGCCTACAAGCTTCCACGCTCCACATTCCTTACGCTCTTTTCCTTGACATCAGGCCAACACAAACTGAATGCATCTTTTAGATCTTTGGGAGTCAACGAGATTTTGCGACCCAACTTATCAAATCGATCAATTTGTAGTCTACATAGCTGAGATGTGGACGAATTCTTTGGCTACAGCAGGGTGTGGCAATTACGGCCTAAGCACTCAAATGCCAATGCGATCACGCCATATGACCGCCTCCGTTTCCGAAGTAGAGGGTAGGCATATACACGATCGAGGTACATCTGCACGAAACAGTAATTGGGTACATGGTCACAAGGAAAACATCGTCGCCACGCAGCGATCGCTAATGCGCAAAATACACCGAAAGGTTAGTCCTTTACTGCGCGTTAAACCCTTGTCCCTTGTCTAGAAATGTCCCACAGAAAGCAGAGCGTGAAAGACATTGGCCCAGTGGTGCACTAGTCTGCAATTCACGAACATGGATACATTGTATGAGAAACGAATTACGCTAAGAATGCTTAAGCTACCAACCCTTTCAAGCAACTGTTCAGCGAATCTCTCGTTCCCATGACAAGCTAAATCACGCGCTGCGTACGAAAGCTCTATCGAACGATACTTCGAACTCAGTGGAAATCCTGATCCAGACGCTGAATTCTGAAAACACATAGCACGAATATCGCACAGTCCCATAAGATTGACGAACCTTATCGCAGAGATCGCCTACTTCTTCTCTATGATGTACGCTTAGCTTGTGATAGCAGCAACCGACAAGTATTACCGCCGAAGCTGCAGGCGACTCGACAAATATGCGAAGAATTGAAGCTGACAAATCGCCGCATGGGTGAAGTCCAATAAGAAGTGCTTTTTGCTCTAAAAATAGACTGTATGAGCCGATCTCAATCCACTGAACTGAAATTTAAGAAAAAAATCCAGGGTGGCATTGCCCGCTGAGAGTTGTTGCAAGGTCGAAGTTTGACAATACATAGTAGTTCTACGAAAAATCTTCAGAACAGTTCTACCTGTCGAAACGTAATTCTTTTTTTGGAAAAGAAACCTACCAGTAGTTTCTAAACTTCCCGACCAACGAGACCCCCAATTTTAAAGAAGTCCACTCCATCCAAAGGAAGTTCCGCGCTGAAGCAAGGAGCATATCGTGCGTCGGTTCGCACCTTTAGTGAGCCACATGTCTTTTCACGGGTACGTTTCCTTTGAGCTCCAACCTTACCGTAGAATCCTCCTGTGAGGTCGCCTTCAGAATCGTGTTGTCATCCAAGGCGACTTACCAGGGAAGGATAATGGGTCGAAGTGGCCATATGAAATGAGACAAGTATCATGGTATGTGGTTTCGACGCTGATCTCGAATCTTCTTCCCAAATCTGCCAAACGATTCGCTGAACGGAGTTACGGAGGTTTCTATTCCCACGCAATTTACACAGTAAGTGGTCGGCCTAAGCAATAGCAGCATTAAAACGAAACACAGCGAAGCACCAAATGGGCGCTGGTGGCCTAGTGCTTAAACCGGTGGGCTCTCGATTCGGAGGTGGTTCGGATCCTCTGGGTTCGTCTTTCCATGCACCTTGGTAACTGACCATGGCAATAGCGAAACATAATCCTTTAATCCTGTTCAACCCTAATTTGCTGAATTTGAGACCATTAACTTCGATATTCTTCCCAACTTGCGCGCCGCTAGATAGAGTCAGGGCGCGCCATATCCGTACCGCGGTTCAACCATTTTTGAGTTAAACCAATCGTTATATCTGTACTCAGGGAACTAAATCACTCCAATACAGTGCGCGTCAATTTTATATGCCACCCCCTGAATTTTTTCAGTTTTCCGACTTATTTGGGAATTTCGTAAATCGGCATAGCAACCATCGGTTTCGGCGTGTCGGAAAACTAGGAACGGTGTTGTTTGATTTTGGTTAACGCGTGGATTTGAATTGCTCTGTTCTTTGGAAGGAAACTGGTCGCGAATGCATATGCCATCCAAAGTCTTCTTTCGAAATTTCCTCATGCTCTCACCGTTATCAGCTCGGTGGCCATGCAGTACAAATAAAAACTCACTTATGCAATGCATCACAAATGGTGAAGCATTTATAACTAATTAGTTCGGAATATTAGTCCTGATACTGGACGGTAGCAGCACGAAAACGCTTTATCAGAGAAAGTGCTGTGTGCTCACTCTTGCGATCGCTCTGCTGCTTATTGTAGAACTCTCATCGAGGAGTGTATCCAGGCAAAACTGGGGAAATTTAAGTGCTCAAGGAGCTCTTAAATTCTCATTTTCCCGCTTCGAATCCGTGGTCAACTTTATTTGTGGTCTCGGCTCCCTGCGAAGCTCGAAGCGTTCACGCTCACAAAGTCTCTGTTCAGAGAGAATATGAGTTGCACTCACAATCCGCGTAGTACCCATCGCCGAACTTTGTCGGATTCTCTCTGGAAAAATTTTCGTACCGAGCGAGCGAAAATGATGACATGGGCCAGTTGTAACTTGAACGGGACACCGAAGGTGGCATGGGCCATCATTGCATCGCCTTGATAAGAAAACTTCGATCGAGTTTCAGTGATGGGTACCAGACGGGTAGTGGGTACGAGTCATGTTCTCTCTAAAAAGAGACTTTGTGAGCGTGAACGCTTCGAGCTTCGCAGGGAGCCAAGACCACAAAAAAAGTTGACCACGGATTCGAAGCGGGAAAATGAGAATTTAAGAGCTCCTTGAGCACTTCAATTTCCCCAGTTTTGCCTGGATACACTCCTCGATGAGTTCTACAATAAGCAGCAGGAGCGATCGCAAGAGTGAGCACACAGCACTTTCTCTGATAAAGCGTTTTCGTGCTGCTACCGTATCCAGGCTAATATTCCGAACTAATTAGTTATAAATGCTCCACCATTTGTGTGCATTGCATAAGTGGAGGATTTTCTCATTTGTACTGCATGCACACCGTAGCTGAATAGCGTTAGAGACATGAGAAATTCTGAAGAAACTTTAGGATGGCATAAGCAATTGACGCGGCCCATTTTCTTCAAAAGAACAGAGCAATTCAAATCCACGCGTTAACCAAAATCAAACAACACCATTCCTAGTTTTCCGACACGCCGAAAACGATGGTTGCTATGCCGATTTACGAAATTTCCAAATAAGTCAGAAAACTGAAAAAATCAGGGCATATACAATGCCACGCACTGTAGTGCCAACTCCAGATAAAATCGAGATTTCTGGCTATCTTCGAAAAGTGGCTAGTCATTAATGCTTCCTAGCCGTACGTCCTTCACTTTCGAAACACCAATACCACATCTGTTGCTGCAAAAATCAAGAGTTTTGCAGGCTCCATGTGCAGAAATTAGCAAGTGCGCCAAAAATTCTTAGAACCTTCTCGCACTTTTTGTACAGGGTCAACCTACAGGCAATCTTGATTGCGCGCCGTATTGAAGTCCTTTTCAACCCATGCGCAGCGATGACAAAAGAACCCCTCTAGATAACCGACCTTACGACCTCTCGCACGTGCGCGCCGAATACTTACCGTTCCATGTTTTGCTCATAACTCCGTTCAACAAATTGATTGCATATTTGGAAAGCAGCATACGGGATTAAGCATCCACACAACCGCAGCCATAGGAAGGTTCCATTTTGTTATAAGCCACTGTCGGCCCGTAACATGACATTGCGTCACCTATCGTAACAAGACACATTTCACCCTACCGAACAAATCTTGTAACTCCAAACGCTTCACAGGATGGAAAGCTTGTTTGACGGAGGAAGAACTCGAGCCAGGATGGACGACGCTCTTGGTAGTTGGCGCCGTCTGCCACTACATCACCTCCGACCATATAACGATTGATACAAAAATTGCATTGCACAACCGATCATCAGAATGTAGAAGATGCTCCTGTTATTTTTGCTAGTAGTGTTTCCTTTCCATAATATCGTTATGGTCATATTTCCTCGTGGTATCTATTTCCTTTTCGTAATATCGCATGATCAACCAGTTTATGCATTACAACTTCTACCAAGCAGTTTCCACTTGAGTATGCAACGACGTTATCGACCAAAGAGAGTCACATGAATAATGAAGGAGGAGCTCTACCAAGAACTCGTAATCGGAGACCAATTCTTCGATGCGATGTTGATCTTACTGAACCCCACTGCCATTGTAATCCTCCCTCCCAACAGGCAAAAAATAGCAAACACGATCACATTTCGAGAAATTGTTGGCCGTAGCCCCAATCAGCCCATCATATGGGGCAGTACGAATGAGGCGAGTGAAGCTCGTATAAGTTGACTATAGATGATTTGGAAAAGAATGTTTACCAACTGCTAAGCCATCAAAAACTGATCCATGGAAGGAGGCATTCACAGATTCGCAACAATGACGAGGTACCACAAAACCATCACAACAACCATTCAGTCTTTCGTCCAACTTTGCAGATCGCCGAACCAACTGAAAGTGAACCCACAATGTTGAGAGCAATGAAAGGTTTATCCACACTGACTTCACTGTTTTGTTCCATAGCAAAAACTGTGCAGCCAGGAAGAGTCATGCTGAGCACGCGAACAAGGTGACCCATTCCAGCACCGATATCTATGACCGTGTTGAAAAACGGTCCTGAAGAATTTGACAGTCAATGTTACGATTAGTCGATTTTCGAATTTCCGGAACCGTTTCACTCTGAATGAACGAAGGTAAATTCGCACCATTATCGCTCTCCTTCAACAAATTGACCACTGCCACAACACGGTCAATCTCATGTTGCTTCTTTAACTTCATTTTTGTCCGGAGACTGTTTGTTGCCGTAATTCCTAAGAAATCGCGAGGCTGTAAACAGGTACGCGGAGATGGTAGACAAAGTATCACCAAACAATTTAATGAATGAAGGACTACCTCTTTCCAGTTGATTGCACATGCCTTGGCAATCTCAGAAGGCGAGCTTACAACATCACGAGAAGGAAGTCGACTCACAATAGTTTTGATGCATAAAATCGACAGTGGCGGAATTATTTTGCTAGGACATCCCGACGAGGAAACGAGGTAGATGCAGTCTTGTGGCTGTAAACGTTATCTTACGGAAACAAACTTGTACAAAGTTGTCGTATGCAGGTTGTTTCCCACAGAATACAGTTGAACCAGAACAATAACGGTTTGTGCCGACGAATTGTTTCAGAAAGGCCACACATTATCGCATTAGAAGCGCTCCAACAAATGACGGTCACCCTATCCAGATCCCCTTTTCAATGCCGGCGCGTAGAGCATCAACATCGCAAGCCAGTGGAGGTTGGATGCAACTTGGTGTCCCAATGATCTGGTAGTTGTGAGAAAAGGCTCTAGAGGCTTTGAAGAAACTATAGTCTTCTCCACGGGAAGCAACGAGCAAACTAGCTAAGTAACTTTCCGGATGTGAGCGTATAATCTACGTTGCAATGTATGTTGCAAAACACCAAGAACTCTCAAATGATATTTGTAGCAAAAAATGTAAAGTGGTCGGTAAGTTATGCACCAAGCTGCCGTCGTGATAATGAGGGGAGGGGGTTGTGGTGCAAAAATTGGGGCTGCTTTTGGCAATCCTGATTCTTGTAGAGGAGCAACTTCAAGGAGGATGACCAATTTCCGTTAGTAAAAAGGAAACTAGGTTATGCAGTCTACACGTAGGGCATGAAGGATTGTCTTGTACTCTCAAAACGACTCGGTTCTCCTCACTCCCTTCACCGAGATCCTCTCACCCTTCGCCCCACTAACATGAACCAACATTTTTTGGTTAAGAACCGATTTCTGGTCACAACGTGACAGCAGCTGTAAGTTTATCAACTTCACACCTCTGCATCCTCGAACGCTGATTGCCACGACGAGGGAAGTGCACTCCACAAATCCGATGTAAAGTAATTGATCATATAGGAGTCTATCAACCAGGCGTAACGAGTGATAAGATATTGAAACAACGCGTCCATCTTTAAAAAAAAAACTTTGGGCAGGGCAGAAGGTGCAACACAGATACATTGCTGGCAAAAACTGATAACAGAGTGAAAATGATCAATAACAAATTTATCAACCATTCATAACAAAACAACAAGAATTCATATGATTCCGATCTTATTGGCGCAATCTAAGGCATCATAATCCGTCGTCAAGCGAATGTAGGCCTTTTTCTCCATAAGGGGAGTGATAAGTGTGTTAATCTGAAACGATAGGATGTTGCGAAGCTGGAAAATTTCGAGACTTAAAAAGGCCTACCTTTTGCACCTCAATATTGTACAACTTCTTCACAGCTGCCCGAATTTGGTGCTTGTTCGCTCGCACATCAACGATGAAGACAAGCGTGTTGTGATCTTCGATTTTCTTCATCGCAGACTCGGTCGTTAATGGATGCTTGATGATAGCGAAGGAATCAAGCTTGCATCGTGCAGGGGCAGACTTACGAGGATACCTGAACAACAGCACACGTGAACATGAATGAACACTCACTCAAGCAAAAACATGTAACACGTATCTTCGAAATCTCGAACCTACTTAGGAATTCTCGGCGTCTTCAGGGTCTTGGGCCGACGAAAGTGTACAGATGTGCGCACCTTCTTCTTCTGCACGGTTTTCTGCCCCTTGGCCACCTTCTTCTTGGCATCAAGTGCCTTAGAGACCTTACCCTTCTTCACAATCTTGGGCGGTGCCATTATCCCAACTAAAACAAAATCGAGGAAGAAGAACCTTCTGAAGGCAACATAATCCTGATATACATTGATAAAATTTCACGGTTGGGAACCGAGTGGCATACAAAACAAGAAAATATCAAAATCTTGGCAGATTTACTTGATACCAGTTAAAGCAATGAAAAGTGAAATTAAGGCTGATTTCACCCAGTATATACAAGACAAGAAACATTATATTTACAATATTTACACTATGTACATAATAAATATTAAAGATTGCTTACACGATGAAAATGAGGCTCATGGATGGAGGAAGTGGCCGAATTAAAATTATCCACATGTTCGACTAAGCGATGAGATTCTTTGATATCACCCGAACTTTGCGACCGTTCACAAACTTGATACGCAAACCCACCCGTTAATACAATAAACAGTAGCAAAAAAGCGACTACTATAGCCACAACCCATTGAAAGACCATTAATTGCCGCCTGACTGAGACTTCTGATGGAGGAAACGTTGTTGTCATGTAATTCACCAACGCCGGAATGTACTCATTCCAGAAAGCAACTTCTTGATACAGGTAGTCTCGCTCCAGTTTTCCAGGTATAGACATTTCAGACCAGTGAGAATAATTAAAGTTCATATACCAATGACGCCGAGGTTCAAGAGCAGCCCATGACCCGTCATACAGAAAGTTCGGATTTCTAAATATGTGAGATAAGGAAAGGGCTAAATGAAGAATATAAAAAAAACAGAAATAAAAGTGAAACAGTCTGCTCACTGATGATAGACGAAACGCCTGAATATGTTCGAGAAGACTTGACTCGCATTGCGATCCATATCTGTGAAATTTACACCGCGTAAATGGTAAGGTCGCAGATCGTCTGGTAAATAAGGATAACCAAACAGCAAATATAAGTCACACTCTCTGCAGGACCCTGTAAACACAAAAAGTTACGAAAAAGAAACTAGAAACGGGCCTCTCTTGCAACGAACCCATCCATCCTGGTATAAAGCCGGTTCTTGATAGATTGTAGTTGTTCACGTACATAAAAGTACGCGAGCCGGCTGCTGAGTGAAGGTGAGCAGAAAGACTTATAGGAGCAGTGTAGTATGCGTCAGTGGCGAATTGGATGAATGAATTTCGGACAGCCCACTCATCGGCAGGATCAGGCCAGAAGGTGTACCGGTCAATGATCGCTTCCACAATTGCTTCGCGATTCATGCTGTAGTTGTGGCGGAATGCGTACTCTAGCGCGTAACTTCGAAAATATTCTTGATCGACGTTGTTAAAGTCGTTGAATTCGCCCAAAAGTCGGTCCTCAAGAATAACCTGAACAGAAAACCTTAAATAGTATGCACAGCAATAATAACATTAAGGTACAACACATTGTTCGCACGTGAAATGGCCACTCGTACAATAGAATACAGCGGAGGTAAGATGTGCACAACAATTTCGTCCACTTTTTGAAGACACCGTTCAGTACGAACGGATCCATAAACCAGAGGACTTCAAAGAAGTGAATGTATTAAAAGCGAACCTCTGTACCATCCTGCGCATTCATTCCTATTAGCAGAGGCACTGCACTTGGTATAGCTGCAAGTCCAGTCGGAGCATTATTTAATATCCAGAGTGGATTTCCCGGGATGTTCACGCCGTCGACAGTGGGAAGGAAAAGATAACGATTGTATCTGAAGAATACATCACATTATTTAGCCAACAGGAAAAGTAATAGAAACTTCTCTAGCAGAATCTGGACTCACTCTATTGGGATATCCGTTGTGGCTCGAACAATGTCATTCGTTGACCGCGATAAAATGCAGTTCCAAACGTCATGTGCAATGGATTGAATACATCCAAGATAGCGTCCCAATTTGATAGTGTTATTGAAAGCGAGGGCCGGCTTACCAATATACGAGTGATACGACACCTCGGCACCTGACATTGCGGCAGCAGAGCGAAACAAGCCTGAAGCAGTCCCATGCTGATTTCTGCGATGATGAGGAAAAATGTCAATAAAGAAAGTGAGACATTCGACTTACTTTTGGATAACGGCGACAGCATGTGCATCCCCACTGAGACAGCTCCTGCATCATGGCCTACGACAGTCACGGCTTGTGGATCTCCTCCGAAAGCTGCTATATGGTCCCGGATCCACTGAAGAGCGAGTCGCTGATCCATGAGACCATAATTTCCGGAAAGAGAATCGCCAAGGCTCATGAATCCTAAAACATACATTGCTACGAATCTTTGAAATGGACGAAAGCTGCTTTCCATTTCTACAATCCCAGAGGAAAATCTCAGCGGCTAAAGCAAAACGCAGAATGAAAAGATAAATAAGCGTTGATAACGAAATCTCACGCTAAATAACGTCAAGAGATAGCTGGGAATATGTGAAATCACTGGTGCAAGGGAGAGGGGTAGGCATAATCTCGCATTAAATTGTCTCGGCAACTATTCCTTTTAGCAGGGAACTCCGGGTGACTGGAGCAGTTTGCTTGTAATGAAAGGAAGTGGGCATGCGTTGAAACGTTTGTCACCATTTAAATGCGAGATGCTACTACTTGGAAGAAGCAATGAGCCAAACAGCAGATAATAAAAGCCACGGACATGAGCAAATCAATGCGCAATAGTAGAATCTCATACTACAAACATAATGTATTGTTCGCACGTAAAATGACCACTCGCACAATTGAATGCAGTGGGGGTAAGATGTGCACAATGTTCTCGTCCACATTTTGAAGACACTGCTCAAAAAGAGCAGATCTATAAACCAGAGGACTTTGAAGAGAAAAGACTGAGAATACTAACCCAATGCACCAAGGCGATAATTCACCGTGACCACAACCATGCCGCGTGACGCTAGGCCATGAGCGGGCCATTCATTGGCAGAGCCGGTTTGAAAGTTACCGCCGTGGAAGAATACCATGACCGGATAAGACATACCGGATACTTTTGAAACCTTAAGCATTAGAATACATTATAGCACAGCAAAACAGGAATTATACAAAACAAAACAAATAGAATAGATGGCTAAACCGCTGGGGAGAATAGGTAAAATGAAAAGGTGTGGTAAAACTAACGTCTGGAGAGAATATGTTCAAGTATAAACAGTCCTCGTTGACAATGAATGGATAAGGATCATTGACAAAGATTTGTGGACGAGTTTCTACATCTTGGGCGCAAGTGGCGCCGAATTGAAATGCCAAATACGGCTGCGTTGGTAACTCTCGAATAAGTTGCGGTGGCTGAAAAAGACATGGAGAATAAAATGGTAACTGCTCTCGAAAGAAATGAAATTTGCATGTGACACTTCCTTCGTTGTCGAAATGACCAGTAACAGACCCGTCGGAGTGCTTTTTATATTAACACTTCCTTTAATTAAAGGTGAGGTAATTGAGGAACTGCACGTTTCTTTAACCAAAACCAGCCAAAACAGAGAATCGCGGTGAACTTAGGTGTCACGGAAACCGGTCTAAGGTCATCCACACCACGAAGCCGAACGAAAATTAATTAAACTAAAACGAATGTCCGTCAATTAATATTGAGAAACCCAACGGATTATCTCGATAGTAACCGACAATACGATTTTGTCCTTTTGACACTGACCTTAGATACATATCTAAAATCACAGTATAAGGACATGAATAAAGAAGAAAAAGATACCCACTTTCAAGCGACGCTGTGCAACAGGAGGTTCTGCATATGGCACTCCGAGAAAGGTGAATATTGTGACATTATTACGTCGCGGCAATGGACTCGGCTCGAAATGCGATCGCTGTGGTGGTAACTGCTCGGACGGATCTTGACTTGGAGTCCATGGCAAGTTTTCCAGCAACAATTTTTTCCCAATCAGATCACCAATGGACAATCGCACAGCCACTTCATTCGTCATGAGACCCTAATAGAACATAACAGTAAAAACCTGTAGCAAATACTTAACGGTAAGAACTCACCTGGTTTTTTGGGCGAGGTGTTGACGTTGGTCCAAATGGATTCCATAGATCAATAGGTCTAGTGGGCTCCGGAATAATTTGAGGGCATATTGGTACTACCACGGACAACAACAAGCTCCACATCACTACGGCACAATTTACAACCGAATCATCTAAAAAGGTAGCGTAGGGTTTTAAAATCTAGGACTAGGTCAAACTTCCAAAAAAAGCAGGCTTTCTGTGACGATACAAAACATCACGACGCTAAAATACTGACACATGGAAACTTAGGACCTAAAATAGGAATCAGAAATTGCGTCAATTTGAGAATGAGCGTCGTGAACAAACTACGGTAGCTTGGCTGGCTGTGTGCACCGGGAATCTTCGTAGGACCGGCACGAGCTAAATGGGTGCATTGAAATGAAACTAATTTTTACATCGCCATTGGAGGTTTTTTGGAGAACTGGCGAAGCCCACTGCATAGAAACTGCACTTCTCTATCGGAAAGTTTATTAAGGTTTTGCAAAATGGAACAATGCTCGACATGAAAATGCTTATTTCATGTGGTGAACTTGTGCGATTGGTGCTCGAGACTTACGGTAGGATGTACGAGTTCATTCCTTGCAAATGATTTTTGTCAAAGAACCAGTCTTTACCTGCATGAATAAATGAAATTGAACGGCACTTTTGACTATTACAACCCCAGGGGCTGAGGGGGTCAAAAAAAAAATCAATCATTTCGTCTGAAGCTTCTGGGTGTCATCGAGAGTCCTGATCACGAATATGGCATCCCATTTTTGCGGCGCTGGCGCCAATTGGCGCCACGACTGATTATCACCAAATTCGCTGTAAACTTCTGTATAGGGGTTATTTGGGGCCCTGATCACGAATATGACACTCATTTTTGACATTCGTGCTGTTTAACGCATATTTTCTGCTTTTCTAAGCTTTCTCACCTACAGCGCCTAAGACTAAGCTTAGGGGAGGGGAGTGAAACTCCGGAGTGGGTAAACCACGCACCGTGTGGCAAAAGTTGGAGTGTGTTAGACCACAGGGGAGTGGCCTACTCACTTTGGAGCCCTCCACTATTCAAAGGCTTAGTCCTGATTGCGATCTAATTAGTGCGAGGGCGCAGACGAGCAATAGCGCAACAACAAAAACGAATGTATTCGTAATCAGGACCCCAAATAACCCCTATACAGAAGTTTACAGCGAATTTGTGGGAATCAGTTGTGGCGCCACCTGGCGCCAGCGCCAAAAATGGATATCATATTCGTGATCAGGACCCTCGATAACCCCCATAGCAGAAGTTTCAGCGAAAATTATTTTTTGACCCATCTCACCCCTACTGGGGTTGTAATAGTGCAATAGTGCCAATTGAACTACCGCAATTTTCCGAATTCTGGTGTGTAGCGCGAAGCTTCACCGAGCACCTCCGTACTTTGAGGAGGTTTTCCGCTATTGTTGTTGACAGAAATCTAGCTTATAGGAGAGCACACAAGCCAGATTTATGGAAAATCCTATTTTGCACCGAGTGGCCGGCTACCAACGCCGATGAGGACTCACGCCCTGTAAGGAGCAGAGGAATCCGTGACATCTGGCCAATTTCAGACACAAGTTGACCCCGATGATGGTTGTTCTTGTTATATTGGGTTGTCCCATAATTCCTGGCCGATTTTGTTCCAAATTCAAATTTCTTCATGTCAAATTAGCTTCATAATGAAATAAGTTGATATGTTGAAGACCTTCAGCCAGGATGTTTAGGAAGCTCAAGTGCGCAAAGGGATAGTTAGGTAGGAATTGAAATAATTGATCAACAACCAAACTCAACAATTATGCCTTACGACCATTTAAACCTTGTAAGGAGCGCGGTGATCAAGATATCAAGATCAGCACTATTTTAGGAGATAGAGAGAGATTAGAGATCAAGATCAGCACTATTTTAGCAAAAATTTTAGGAGCACTTCCAATTCAAGTCTCTTCCTTTGCGATAGTTTGATCAAATTCATTTCGTGTTCATAGTGTGGAAGAGAAAACTGCACATTTGCATTCATGACTTCATGGATGTTGGTGGATCTCAATACTCCTTTGGAGTAAATTCAAAAACTACAGCAGTAAAAATCTTCTGTTGGCTAAATTCAAATCGAGCACTTGAACACTTTTTCATGCTGACACATTGTTGGCTCATTTTTCGGCTATGTTCCAGTAGTCCTTGTGGTCCCTGTGGTCATTTGATTCTGGACAGCGGCATTCAGTGGTAATTGAACTCAACTCTTAACATTGGTCTACAACAAATAACAGGCCATTGCTCATGGTTAATTATTGTTGAAATACGTATAAAATGAAGCGGTTATTGCACTATTTGACCATTTTTTTCTGCGGTTCAAGTTGAAGAAGATAGTTAATGGGATTTACCAAATTTCTTTGTAAGTTTATGGTGATCGAGCTACGTTTTATTCTACCCAAAACATCCCTTTCACCCGCAAAACTCCATGCCAATAATTTCCAGCATTATAACGCTGTTGACTCACAATGAATTAAAAGTTCCTGAAGTTGCTGTTCTGAAACGCTCACTTGAAAGGGAAAGATTGAAAAAATGAAGAAAAGGGGCTGGTCGGAACAAAGCCAAATTTCGAAACCCTCAGGAAACTCTTTTGCCGCTTGGATGGGAAAACTTCTCATCCAAGCGGCAAAAGTCTCCTGAGGCGCAATCAACGGACATACCGTCTTGTGATTACTAGTTCATCAGATTGATGCGGCAACATAGCTGGCATTCGATTTTGAAAGGTTAATATGTGCAATAAGGAACCGGTGAATTGACACTTCGAAACTAAAATCGTGCCATCGGGCGGAATCGCCAATTTGTTGAAAAAATAGGAAAGGCGCTGAAGAAAATAGTGGAAAATTCTTTGGTAATAACTTGTATCAGCTCTCCACGATAAACATTTCTTAGTCGAGAAAAATGACAAAATTGAGTGAACCACCTAAGTAGCTCTTACATGGTTTGTGAGAAAACGATTTTGGTGTCTACGGTCTCTGAGCATAATATGTCTGAGCGAGGTCAGCAGTCAGCACAGCCAATTAAGTGAGGTCACTCCGCAGGCGATTGCTAGGAGGCATAAGGTGGCAGGTGCGAGGTAGTGATTAAGAGGTCATTTTTGACTAAAGTCCCTCTCCCTGTTTGCCCTAGCCTTTGCTACTGATCGGGCACTGAGCTATTGGCTCAATAGCATCGCAAAGACGATAGGAGCTGCAAAGTTCGACCTCATCATGGACCTCCAGTCACTTTCGATGAGGACCCTTGCGCTACGAATAGGAAGTGCATCCGGACGCTATTAGCAGGAAACTGTAGCAAACATCTGGACGCAGCCTACGCTCCATGAGTCGACACCTGAATGGAATGGGCTGTAGCAGAATGAAGCTCGATGGAAACAGCATGCATCGACTGACCATGACCGAGAAGCACGCCTGACCATCTGCAGAAGTTTCATTCTGCGACCGTATAGACAAGACATTCCCTAGTTGGTCACCAGTGCAGATGAGTCATGAGTCCCCACGATAACAACACGCGGCACGCCTGGTGGCTACCTCGCAGCCTGGACCCACCATCTCGACCAAAGCCCGAGCTCTTTCATCAGAGGATATTACCCCGGTTCGTTGGATTCGCTGGGTATCCCGTTTTGAGAACCATTTCACTTTATGCAGACAAGCATTGCGAAGGTAACCATGGAATAGCTCCCGAAGTTGGCCGCAGCAGTGCGGGAGAACGGTTCGAAACGTCTCAAAATCTCCTTCTCCGAAGGACCGCCCGAAATCACATTGCAAAGATAACTCGCCACGTTTCGAGGGAAACTGGCTGGACCACGACACCACATCTATCGTATAGCCCTGACATTGCTCCATCGTACTATCACCTCCCAGCTCCCTGAAGCAGCAGCTTGGAGAGAAAAAAGTCAGTAAATAGTATAGTCAGTAATAGTAAATACAAC